AGAATCGTTTGGCAGATTTCGAATGCAGATTTGAAATCAGCATCAAAAAATACGTTCAGCAATATAGGTCTCATTTCAAATGACCACTTCGACTTGGGATCCTTCCCTTGTTAGTAACTTTCATCCACTCTTCCATTACCCTGTTTTCAAACTCGCCTCCTCTATCAGATATTGTTGCCTTGGGCCATCTACAGCCATCAACTATACAACGCTCAAAAATTACACTGGCTACCGTTTCGGCTGGTTTGTCTGCTGTTGGACAAGCCTGTGCAAATTTTGAGAAGTGGTCAATCACTGCGACCGCGTATTTATTCCCACTTGCGGTCAGTCCTAATTCTAGCACGTCCACGCCTATCAATTCGTACGGCTTCCTGGTCACTATCAGCTTCAATGTCGAAATTCCTACCAGTTGAAAGTTGCTGCAGGTTATTGCTCGAGCTCAATGTGTTTTATTTTTGTTTCTCTGGTTGTACATAGTATTTGTGTCCATAAAGCATCTCGAACTGATTCGTAGGCGTAAAGCACTCTGCACTTTATCCCTACTCCTTTATATCTCGATGTTTCATCACTTGTTTAGGCCAACCTCTTGTCTTTGGCACATGTCTTTGGTTTTGCTCTTCTCTCCCTGCCCTTCTATGCTGCTTTTCATGTTTGAGTCACTCAGTCACCTGCATTTTGTGCAAGTGATTGAGTTCAGCAGTTTGTAGTCATTTGATTTATCTTGACCTTTATACCTGAGATTTTTATCTTTACTATATTTCCTGGCATGCTTTACTCTGCTTTTGGCTGATAATATAATAATAACTTTCTGTGCTTGTGGGCATTGATACGCTCGAAAACGTTCCAGATGCGAGATGAGTGTATGGTTAGCACAGCTCAGGAATCAATGAGGAATCTCATAGAAAAGAACATTCAGGAATTCAACATTGATGACGGATATGTTAGTTTGTTCGTTTACTTATTCACTTACTCATATATTTATTTCTTTTTTGACTTTCTCAATCACTGTACTTATAAGATCATGTCTGCTGTTTTTGTGGTTAGATTCGTTGGCGTGTTCATGGTAGAGGATTTTGAAATGAATACTGGCTGGATACTTGTGTCAAGCGTGGGTGATAGATTTAGAGAAGGTCGCAGTCATCTGTAAGTCCATCAAATGATCGAGTCGATCAAGCACTGGACCTTTGTCATGTCACTAATTTTTCGAAAAAAACATCAAATATGTCATTCCTATTAATAGTATGAGTTTTTTGAAGTCCGTTCTTTCGAATGTTTTGTACCAGATAAGAGGATAAATTCCTGAGGCGTTGATCGATTCTTTCTTAGAAATGCGCCTACGCATTCGACTTCCATTCAGAATCGTGGCGTATTGCTGTATCAAATAGAATTAAAAATTGTTCTTTCGATTCGGGTTTTGTGTGTGTGGTAGCATTTTCGTAGGAGTACAGGAGCCAGGATGGGGTTGTGGCAGGACTGAATTCTATTTCATTTGGTTCTGAAGGTACCCGCAGTTACTCGAACCAAGAGAAAGGAAAAGAAAAGAAAGAAGAGCCTTAAAGCTCAAGGAAAAGAAACGACTGATCATGGGCTCGCCTTTTTTTGGGGCTAAACGCTTTAAGAGAAGCAAGCCCATCAGCAATTGGTTATTCCCGAGAAAGCTTGGTCTGTTTGCTGGTTGAGTAGTTTAGAGCAGGTGTCCCTGCGTTTCAATTGAGCACACTATAAAAAAATCGTGTATGTACCGACAGAGCAAACTATACAGTTCTTAGCCAGGATGGGTGCGTGAAGTCTCGCGTGTTTACCCTTTCAATAGCAATAAAACAACGGTTGTTCAAAACGTTTATCGTGAAAAGAGAGATATGAGCGTGGGCGGGTTGACCGTTCCCAACGCTTAGCGAAATTGCAAGTGGTACAAAAAATCAACGAAGCCAGAACGAGCTTGACCCCACCACGCCCCGCCCCACTTGATAACGGGGAGCAGAGCGCTTACACAGTAGCAGGGGGTCGTCGACGACGACACTCCCCACGCGCATAAGAAAAATACGTAAGAAGCGTCTTCATTTTCGGCTATTCAGCTCGTAGATTTATGTAGACGGCTTGAGGTGAGGCGGCTCATTGACACATGTAGACGGGATACCTGAACGGCTTGTTGGGTGATGACAACAGCCAGTGACGAGGCGTCTTCATCTGGGGACGACCTTTGTGGCATAACAACTGGTTGTGATTGAGACCACAACCAGCGCATGCCACCTTACAATCATCCCCGTGGGACGGTTTCAGGCATCTCAAGCACATATTGAGGTTGGATGCTTGAACTGTCCTGGATACGGGATCTGCATAATTCTGACACCGGCCTGTGAAATGCGAGCCGCAATTCTCTTCTGTGGTGCAGACTAACAGTTTGACTTCGGTGCAGATCTATCCAGGAGTACCTTGATGTGCTCCATCAGGACCTCGTTAGTCGTCTGCAAATAGTGCAGACGAGGGAGCATCTGCTGCACCGAAGAATGTAGTAGATGAATAGCGCTAATCACGGACGTCAGCGAAGGCGAATCGTCCGTCAGCACAAAATTGTCGAGATCCTCCATGGCCTGGCGCAGCTCGGGCGTTGAGATTGAGCGAGCGACATTTTACAATGTATGATTTTTTACGCTCTCAACGTCCTTTTATGTGCCAAGCCAAGCTTCATATCACTATTGTTTGACTAGTAACGCCTTCTCGAGTAGCTTAAATGCCAAAAAAGAGACATGAAACGCGCCTAATTGTATCGAGTGCGTTTGGTTTGCATATGAAACGCACTCACTTGATATAAAGTGCGCTTGGTTAACTGACTAGTGTGCCAACAAAGGATGGAGGCCGCCTGGCTTCTCATAATTGCCGGGCGGATTGCAAAGAGTACATAGATATGTGAGGAGTTTGTAAGCATCATAAATGTTACTAAGATGAATAAGTTTTTTTGACCGTTTTTTTTNTTTTTTTTGAAGTATTACAGACCACTGCCTGCTGTCATAGGGGTTTTTATCAAGCGGGTTTATTGTTTAACTGTATACGGTCGGCTCGTATCACTCGTTTGATCATTCCAGCTCCGACCACTAATATGTTCAGAGCTGCTTTGAATAGAATGACCATCACGATTGGGCCAATAAAGTAAGATAACGGTGTTACCACTACTGCAGTTCCGATAGCTGCCAGCGCCAGTGTCTAATAATGTTTCATGTTTATTAGTGGCTGAAGGTCAGGTAGTGGAATATCTGAGAACATTTACCATTGATGGCTCAATGGTAAATTGTGCGCATTGTCTTCAAATACCGAATTCTTAAAAGTAGTTGTAAATGGAGATTGCCCTGTAACATGAACGAGCTTCCACTTGAGCCACATGAAGCAGAAAATCGTTAGTTTATTAGTGGTTTCTGAAAGTTTGAAAGAATCCAGTTCTTTTTTCCTGATGAGTCGCAAAAAAAGAGAATTCTTGAGTTCCACAAATGACTGTTACTACTCGCTCTCTGTTGGATGTGCATGTGAGTGAAAGATCTGCGCCATGGGGACAATTGTAGCAACCAGAGAGCTTTGTAACTGTGATATTGCAGTTGAGCTGTTCTACCAGGCTGCCGTTTCTTTCGCTGTTTTGGACTCGAATCGTAAAATGAGTTCTTCTTTGGATATACCAGTCGGCCTGAATACGATACCGTGCGCGTCTCATGGCTCCTGATATATCGATTTCCTTGAAGATATTCTGGAGCGTAGTCGTATTAGCAACACAGACCACCCTCTTCCGAAAAAATGAACAGTACCGCTCTTCCACCCCAACTAAAGGCGGCACAAGCCGTCTACCGAGAGCGCACATTTCCAGCAAACTGCATTTGGCGACCATTCGCATTCGTTTATCCATACACTAACCGAGACAGTCCAAAAAATCAAAAAAGGACCTTGAAAGCATTTGATTTCTTGTTTACTCTCGCCATTGGGAGGACCTGCACTCCACTGGGGATGGAATGGGAATTTAATTGCACTCTGGTCATTTTTCTGCACCCGTCGCAGTAGGCATTCGATAGCATACCAATCAGCGATCTTGTTGGCCAATATATTCTTTGATGAATTTTTTCGCAAAATTTGTATACTCTAGGCTCAGGAGCAAAGGAGTTACAGATTCGTGGTGAACCACACTTTTCGCGCAAGCCCGGGCCCGGTAGTGGGCGGAGCCTAGCTTCAGTCACGAGTGCCGAAGGAGCCCGGCTCGTTTCCCACTTGTTCGAAGGTGCTGAGCTTTTCCAGTTATCTCCAAATTTTGCAGCCTTGCACTTTCCAACGCTAGCACATTTAAAAATAGAGGTTGAAACGATGGCGTGTCCGAATATTTCATAGTTGTCCAGGTTGCAATCAGGAAAACTGCTGGGAATTAATAGCATTTCCATCAACATCCAGTTTTTAGCATTTTCGCAGTTCTGCACTTTCCAACGCCAGTAAACTTGGGAACAGAAGTCGAATCGGTGGCGTACCCTGATGTTTCAAATTGTCCAGTTTGCTGTCAGGAAAAGTGTAGCTAATTAGCAGTCCTTTCATCGACACCTAATTTTTATGCATTTTGGCTGCTTCTCTGCCAAATTTGAACGATCCAGGTCCAAACTGACTATTTTTGTGGTAGCCCCCCCCCCCAGTGGACGAATCTACACCTGTCACCTACCATTAGTTTTCTCATCTTGCCGCCTGCATCTCTGTCAAGTTTGAATACTCTAGGCTCAGGAGCAAAGGAGTTACAGATTTTCGGCGAACTACAATATTCGCGCAAGCCCCGTCCCTTGTGGGCGGAGCCTACCTTAGCTCACGTGTACCCACGGAGTTCGGCTCATTCCCCACTTGTTCATCCCCATTCCCCACTTGTTCCAACCTGTCTGAGCTGTTCTATTTGATTTCCAAACAACGCCATATAGGATAGTTGCGGTGAAACAGACAAACAAGCATACAGACGAACAGAAAAACGGACATTTGTGGTTAATATATAGTAAGGATTAATGATATCATTTTGTGTGTGCATTATTTTGCCATACGGTGCTTCTGAAGGCATTCTGGCCTCGTCGATGTCATGTAGGGTGCTAAGTGTTTCGTCAGGGCACTGATAACTATGCACCGTGTCACCACAATTGCATTTTATTCTACATGAGCAGGTAGCAAGTTGATTTTCTGCCCGTACTGCTACATTCTACCGGCACCTTAAAATGACGTGGTAGAGCGAACGCAATGTCGTGTAGGATTGCATATCTCTTGTTCACGTTTGCCGTCGCTGGTTTTTGCAATGATATTGAATTCGTCATTGTTTACGGTAATGTATGGTTTCACTGATAGCGTGAATGTCGTTTTCGACCAAGTAGTACCATTCGATGTGAAGTGGAATTGTGGGAGCCCAATGGGGGCACTGGATGACTTCGAACACCCTTTTCGATACCGGCCTGTGGGCTACCCTGTAAAAGGAACACGCTGGAATCGGTATTGAAGCATCCAGAGCAGCCAGAGAACTTCTCTGCCGAACTCAGCTCCTTGATGGTTTCATTAGCACGCAGGTTTTTACACCTATTTACGGTACATGATCCGGCTAGCGCACATCTTTCGACATGGTACGCTCGAATCTTTGTGGACCTTCTGTGAAACTCAATCATTTTTACGCATTTGAATTCGGCAGGTTTTCTGGTGATTTTTGCCGTTCCAATAGTTTTGGTTTCCTGAATAAACTCAATACAGAGTTCTTTCTAAAGTTTCTTGAATAACAGTCGCGACTGTATTAGAAATGGCATTGATTTTTTTCACTGCAAATAAGGTCGGCATTATGTCTCATGTAGTCATGTTGGCAGGTGTGCGTTGTAGGCATCACTGGGCAAAACACTGCACATAGCACGAGTTTTGCTGCTCTAGGCAGTGGTGTTACCTGGAGCATGGGCACCTCCTTTT